GCATCTAACTCAAGCTGGGCTTGCGCGTGAGATAATCCCAAAGGTCGCCAATAGGACAACCCCCAGCTAACTCTGTTGTTCTAGCTTTACCCGAGCGAGACCCTCTGAATGATAGAGGTTGACGAACTTGGGTAGGCTAACAAACTCTGTCATTCATGTGTTAAGGTTCGTTGATAGGACGAGCTTGACGCATTCGCCTTCTCGGTTGGTTCTTAACTTAAGGTACGTTTTCTTAACGAACCTCGGTATGAACCGCTTGTTGAATTTGCTGAACCTCTTTTTGAGGATGAGGTCTGTGTTCTGAGTCTACTCGGATACGAGGATGAGGTCCGTCATTTTAACTTGCCTTAATTATTTAACCCTCGTCAGACTTGTTGACCTTAGGCTGGTCAGCTCTCGGTCGATAGTGAAAGCCATCTAGCGAGACCAATGTTCAAGCCATGTGGCGAGCTTGGTTCTGGCGCTGACATTGTCGAGCTCGTCTCGACAGTAGACCAATAGGAACCTTTGCCTCAGCCGAAGCTGGGCGAGGTTTGTTATCAAAAGCCATAATTTGGCTAGTAGAAGCCGAAGTTTGTCTAGGTTGCTTGACAACCCATTTCTTAGCCTGACGACTAGTTATTAGAGCCTCCTCTTTGAGGGGCATGGACTTCTCCTCGAGGTTAACTCGAGTTGAATCATCAGAAGCCACTTAGGCTGAAGTCTCGTACGAGACTCGACGACACTTACATGCCTTCGTGGGACTAGATGCTCCAGAGGAGATATACTCCCCGTACTTGGTTTGGTCAAACTCAATGACCAGTGTCTCAACTTCGGTTCCCACTGCAATCTTGTCTGATTATGCCACCACCATCTCGTCGGAAAGAATGGCTGCTCCCACTATGGTCGCCATTGTCTGTAGGGTTGAAAAATTGTCTGGGATTGATTCTATTGTTTTAAGAAAACTGGGTTCGATCACTTGGTACGAAACCCTTACAATCACTCACTCTCTCTCTCTCTCGATTACAGATGAAGAGAAGATTAATTTAGCTCCTCCTTGTTTAACGTGGGTTCTTGGTGGCGAAAGGATGCTTCCCCCGATACTTGAGTCGAGATTACCTCCCGTTGACGATCAGAACAAGATTAGTGGAGCTTCTGACGTTCGTTAGACTGCTAGAATCGAGGTTCGAATTTCAGATCTATACGCATGAGCTCTGATCTCTGATGATTATCTAAAGCTTTAGAAGTCCGAACCAATCAACTTTTTCTAACCCTCTCTCTCTCTCTCACTGTAGCTATCCATGGCTATTTATAGGGTTTAAGCATGTAATCGACATTCTAAGATCATGGGTAGAGGGGCGTAACTGCCTCCTCCAAATCAGCATGTGCCATAACATGTCCTGAAGATTAGCCCACGTGGCTGACTAAGTCCTCGGAGCCGTTATAGCTAGATCTCACGTGGATGATGTGCCTCGTCCTTTAATTGAAATGGGGTTCGTTATGTAAGACGAGCCTCGATATGCAACGTGGTTCGTCTTACAAAGCAAACTTCACAGTAAACAAGTACCTTTTGACGATTTTTGTCTTCACTGATTTCATCTGACGAACTTCGTCTTCACTAACGAACTTCGTCTTCGATAGTTGAGTTCAACTGCATAGCAAATTTGGTGGATTTCCCTTAGATGAACTTCGTCTTCACTGACGAGCTTCAAGTCTGACGATGAGCTTTATCTTCACTGATGAACCTCATCTTTCAAAGATGAACGTCGAACCTCATTTCCAATGACGAGCTTCACTTTTGTTGTCGAGCTTCGCTGCATGGCGAGTTTCGTTTGGGAAGTGGATCTTTGCTGAGCAACGAGCCTCGTCTTAGATCGAGACGAGGTTCGTTTTCTTGATGACCCTCCTCATATTTTGAAGTTTGGTATTTTTGAATGTCTACATGGACCTCTATTGTTGTATCCGGCCTTTTAGGTGAGGTCCATGGGCCATGACCAAGTGATAGACTGATTGTGGATGTCCCACGCTTTGAGTGGGTTATCTCATTGGTTAATCCAAGTGCAGGCATGGTCTGGTTAATCCAAGTGCATAATTCAGATTGTACCTATGACAAAGATGATTTAAGGGACGAATATGCAATTTCCTTTTTTTATAAGAGTTTCCCATTCACTTTAATATAGTGATATATTGATATTCATTAGAGCAACGTATACCATTTATAGGTGCATAGGGGGTTAATTTGGGAGTTTTTCTTACAGAGCTTAAAATGGAGTATAAATTCTGTAAGGATCACACATGGTGCTAAAGTTCTAAATGCCAAATGGGTAGTGAAGAGGAGAATAGGGTAACTACTGCAGTTAAAAACCTTATGTTTAAGATAAATTACCTAATATAAGAGAAAATTCAAACCAAAAGTTCAAGGATCTTGCATGAATCCTTTTCAAAATTCAATTTTGACATTGATTTTAATTGATTCCGGGTTGAAACCAAATTTTAATTTAGGGGGCTCGGTAAATTTCGGGAGGGAAATGAGATTTTGAACAATTTGGTGCCGTTTGGCAACAGGTTAAGTGAGGGGTTAATGAGACTTAACATTTTCTTAACCCACCAAACCTAAACATTTATACAATGGCTAACATTGAGTTAGTCATCTATAATTTGCCAAACATAAAAAATACATAAGTGTTAAGCTAACCCCTCTAGAGGGATTAAAATGAGTTAATCCCTCAAAATGAGGGGTTTACTAATACCCCTATTTAAAATGATTAAGAGTTAATCCCTCTATTTATAAAGAGTATAGCCAAAATCTTTGTTATTCCCAAACACTAAAATTGATCACAAGAGTTAAAATAAAACTTATTTAACGAGTTAGTAATTTAGTCATTCGGGTTATCAAATGGGCTAATTACGTTAATCTTTCTTCCTTAACCCTTTGCCAAATAATACATTTGGGATTTACCACGAGGGGTTGGTGTTGATTATACAAAGAAGGTTTCCCCCCCACGCAATGAGATAACAATGTTTAATATTGTAAAGTTCAATGTATATAAAGGGGTGAAAACAAACCTAAAAAATTAACACTGTTCAATAATTGTTCAACTAACTATACAGTTATATTTGATTCAGTAGTAGTTCATTTAACGTTAAACAATTTTGTTCATAATTGAATAGAAGTTAACCATATCTATATTTGATATGTTTTGTTATCAACTATTTGCTGAAGGTTTCATCCCCTATAATTTCTATAATTACATGCATGATATCATGTTTTCACCCATTTCACTTTGTAATTTTGGTTCCATACTAATTTCTAACCAAGTGAAAGGGCTTTAGGTTAGTTTTTAAGCCAAATCTGCTTTAACCAAATAAAATTGATCTACATACTTTAATATTGATGAAACATAAAGAACTAATCAAATAAATATATCGTGATATTCGATAAACGTTCATCAATATTCAAACGACATTTTTATTTGAATTTACATTCATAAAATTTCAGCCTTCCAGAGAATGATATTCAAGTTTGTATCCGAGCTCGAAAATTTAAACGAATATAAATATGAACATTATTGTGTTATTCAATTGGTTTCTGGATCTAAATTATACAACCAAATACGAACGATCGACTGGGTATACAAGTGCAAAGAGAAACTATATAGGTATGTAAGTGCTAATTAGCGATATACTGGTAATGGGCTGTTTGTTTGCCTAAAAAAAGAGGGAAATCAAAGAATAAGAAACCTATTTCTAAGAAAAATTATTTTGAGATTGTTTGGTTGGCTAAAAAAAGAAGGAAATCAAAGAATGGAAGATGAGTTGTCACATTATTATTGGATGATGTGGGTGATTTTTTAAGAAAATTTGTTTTGAGGTTGTTTGATTGGCTAAAAATATAAGAAAATAAATTATAAGAAACTTATTTTCTGTAATAGGTTCTTTTCTTGTGTTTGGTTTATTTATAAAAATAAAAAAATAGATGAGATGAGATGAGTTGTTATTATATTATTGGATGATGTGACCCACATTTAAGAAAATCAATTTCCTAGTTTTTTTTGAGGATATGAGTAGAAATGAAATTTAATGAGATGATTAGTTGTAACCACATTATTGGATGATGTGAGTGATTTTAAAAAAATAAGATGTGATGGAGATGAGATGAGTTGGATGATATAACCATTTCTTGTGTTTAGTTTATTTTTAGGGGCTGTTTGGTTCGTTTCCTTGATATAGAGAAATGCAATTCCATGTAAAGAAACACAAGTTTTGAGTTTTCCAAACTTTTCCAAGAAATAGATTGTTTTGCTTTGGTTCGCACATAAAAAATGGTGGGAAACCAATGTATTTATTTTTCTTGTGTTTGGTTCGCATAGAAAAAAAAGGAAAACTTTTGTAAACAAAGCAGAGAAGGAAAAAATCTGACGTGGTAGAGTTTTCATCAATTTCACTTGGTTAGGGAAGAAAATCGAAGAGGGAAAAAAATCTTAGTTGGCGGCGATTTCAGCAGAGTTTTCCCTCTTCCATTCGAGCGAACCAAAGCGGCACAAAGAAATGGACGGAAAAAAAAGCTGACGTGGATGGCTAAAAATCTGACGTGGAGGGGTTTTCTGAGTTTTCCACCCCTTATAATAGCGAACCAAACAGCCCCTTAAGAGATGATATGAGATGAGTCGTGAGATGAAAATAATATTTTATTGAATTGTTGTGATGAATTTTAAGAATAAAAATAGATGAAAATAATATTTTATTGATTTCAAATGCATCCTTTTCCTGACTTAAAAAGAAACTCTTTTTATTTTTAATTAACAAACGCAAGATCATAGCAATCTGATTCCATCGCCCTCCTTCTCTTCAAGCCTACTCCACTCGGCTCCATCATAATAAATTTCTCACCCTCCGCCAGCTAACGAAACAACCAGAAATAGAGATAAGAGAGAGAGAGAAAGGGGTTAATGAGCTCACCGGAGCACATGGGGAAAGACAAGGAGAAGGAGGGGGAGGGGAGCGTGCCGCC